AGTGTATTAACTAGGACTCATATTGGTCTGTTTCTTCTCAACTTAAAGTTTCTGCCTTAGTGGCCACGAACTTCGCACAATTTGTCGACACTGGCCGGGCACTAAAATGAAGGACTGGTTTTAGCAGCTGCATGGCCCCGCCCCCCTCTTTCTTTTGTAGGCGTCACTTCCGCTTCCGTTTCCGTCGCCATCTTGCGGTCAAGCGCATAAATTAGTTTCCCCCGCGCGCGCTCATCTAATAAATTTAAGTCTTTAGCCGCATTAAAGCAAATTTGGACTACGCTATTACCATGAACTCGAATATTTACAGTAGGATTTTGTTTCCTTAGTCGTAATGCTGTTTATCCATTATATTTGCCTTTTGTGTTTGCCTTTTCGTCATTTTTAATTTCGTGAAAACGTGGTAACTCATAGCTGTGGCTTTGCCGCCTGCCTGTGACAGGTTCTACATTTGAGATTTTCCATAATTTTATGTGCCGGCACGCCTACGATGTTGGATTAGCCAATGGCAAGTGGAAATTGTCCGTGTGACCGTAAACGTGAACGTAAACGCCCAACGCATCGAATAAAATGCAAATCAAAATCGCCACGACTTATTGCTGCCTGTTATTGTAAATTATTTTGGCTTCGCCTGTCGGATATGGATATTGTCAGAGGGGGCGGCAATTCTATTTTATACGCTTTATATGGCTTTTTGTTTACAGCTGCGGATTCTGTCCCTTATTTAGGTGCCCGAGCGGTTGAGAAATCCGAGGGGCTCGAGCTTGCCGTAAAATGCTGAATAAACCATTGCAAAATGAAAAGTTATTCACCGACTCTAACGCTGCGCTCCTGGGATTTGTTGACGTTCATTGGCAATTCCTGTTTGAAAACGCGGCGAAACATTGGCTGACACATTTCTCATGATTTTCTTTTTTGTTTTGTGGAAGGAAAATGTTTAGCATTCAGCTGACGTTTTGTTTGTAAACAACAATGCACTTCTTCCCCTACGCTGAAAATGACAACTTGTTTAAAAGCAACATCATATGAATGAACTGCTATAGTCACAACGCAATTGCATTTCAAGAAATGTTATTTAGAACAATTTTGTAGCCTTGTCATGACTAAAATATTAAATTACTGTTGAAATTGGATACATAATACAATGTACTAAGTAGATAATGATAATAATAATGATGTTTAGAATGTGCTCCAAAGGCATTTTGCTAAGTGATTTAAATTAAACAAAATTAATACAGAGAATGTCTTCCACATTATTATTATAAACACAATTTCAATACTACAACCAAGGAATATAAATGGCATAAGAATAGAATAGAGTTTTGTGGTCTTAGCTTCTGTTTTAGGCCATTTTGATTGGCATGTACATATGAGCGTGCAAAACAATTTGTGGCCAAGCTGTCGGCACAATGCACACTCGTTTAGAGCCACCAAGCCAAAACGGCTAAACAAATGTGTGCGGGAAAAATCAAATAAAATTGTATAACACGGCAAATCAATACACTCTTAAATAAATTGCATTTAAATATAGACTGACATACAAATATGATTTAAGTATTAAGCTGAAAAATATAGTCAGTTCTTATTTACTCAGTAATACATGATTGCACTACAGTGTTTCAGAGCTAAATATAATAGTTTTGTTTAATGTTTTTTTTGTGCTTTATAATCATAACCGTGATTACATAAGCTCGAATAATCCCTTCTATTCAAGTTTATTTGAATTTCTTTTTCCTTTTTTAGTCCGCTGGTTTGTAACACTTTTACATACTCTTACACTTTGCTGGCCAAAAATACTTGTTTTTTACAATTTGGTTTCTGCATTATTATTTATGGTTGCAAATATTCACGAAATATGCAGCGATAAATTGTTATTATGAGTTGAAAAACATGCCAGGCCATGGAAGTTTTATAGATGTAGAAATTCTTTGTTTTTCGTGAAAACCAATAAATAGGAAAAATCGTTTATGGAAATTCCAGTTGCTTTTAATTGGTTCAATATTTTTGCAGTGCTTTTATAAAATTCGAAACTATTTTAATTTTGATACGTTATTTGGCATTTTTGCTAGTTTTTCCAATTAATTTAATTTTACTTCGCAAAACTACATTTTGCACGGCTTGCCCATAAAGCATAATTAAATTGGACATTACAAGTCGAATCATTATTTAAATAATTCACAGTAATTTATGACTTCCTACGTTACTCAGCAGCTCAGTCTTTCCATGGAAAATCTGAATTTTCCCGGTGATTTGCATTTGACCCAGCTCTTCCTTAATTATGCAGTTGCCACCCACTTCCTGCAGTTGGGAAAACTTTGTGCCTTCATTAGGTATCTGGAGCAGCCTCCGAAAATATGATGAAAAACGTTGGTACGTTGTGATATATTTTCTGTGCATTTTTAGGGGCCATTTGGTGGATCGAAATCCGGAGGCGTTTGTCGCCGATGCGGAAACACTAACGAGCAAAGTCTGGGACAAAAATATAGATACAGCTGTGTTCATATTTATAAACTTAATTTTCGCATAAGGATAATTTATTAAAGAGTAGTATGGATAAATTATAATAATAATAATAATAAATATGAAATAGTAATAATTATAGTGATTATTGTTTGACCGATATTTTTGACCAAAGATCGCTCTAAAACATTTATAAGGATTTTGTAAGCTCTTAAATAATACGTCAAATTGTGATTATTTTTTTTCTATCAAATTAATGATTATTATTTACGGTCCCTGCTTAAAACAAATTAGAAACACATTTAGTGTGCATTTCTTTGTTTTTTTCATATGCCAAATATTATTTCCTCTGCAAAAACTGATACACAATTATCAAAGCAGCCCTAAAAAGAAAAGTTTAAGCACACAATAAGTTAAGTGCATACCTTTGCAACTTTTAATTTAAATTCAAATGATATGATAGTACCTACTATTATTTTAAAGACAGCTGAGGAAGTATTATTTTTTTAGCGCACTCTTGGTGCGCCTGCATCATAATTATCAGGCAGCATTTAGGCTGATTATTCGCATTTTTGGGCCCTAATTGTCGGAGGCGTATATAGTAACCTCCAGCCAGCATTATAAATTCAATTTGGCCCAAATCAACAACAGTGCAAGGCGAGGAGGACAAAAGAAAAGGACTGCCTGTGGGGCGACAGACAACGTCTTAAAGGATTAAACAAGTAAAAGCAAAAGTGATTGTCATGCGCTTGGAACATGGCAGGCGACACTTTCTCCGCTGCTGTTTCCACTCTATCTCTCTCTCTCTCACTTGGACACATTACTTTCTTCGGCCTCATTTGCATAAAGGGAACCGGCCATAAATTCAGCCCACAGACGGTTAGGACGCGTCTGAGCCGCCACTAAAATCTACGGGTGTTTGCCTGACAAATGGCCAGCCATTTTGGGGCTAGGTAAAATTCTAGCATCGAGCCCACAGATTGGCAGCTGTTTTGGGGTTTAGTTTAACCAGAAAATTCTTTATGTGTGCCACTCTTAATATAAGTTGAAATAATTGTAGGATTTGGGGTGCTTGTCACAGGAACATTCACTGTAAGGCCTAAAATAGACTGTTTCTTTCAAGACATTAACTTTTCTTAATAAAATTAAATATTTAATCCAACTTTTATCACAGTGACTCATCTTTTGTGGCTCATTATAAGCTTCGTAGACTTCCTTAATTAAAGTTTGTATACAGGACACAAAAAGGGACATCATTACTTTTCATTATTTGCATTACTTTTAATTAATCTAATAGCAATCTATGTCATCTTGCTTCCTAGATGGCCTTTATAATAATCTCAAGTTTATATAACACAAGAAAGTCATATGTAAACGACAATAAGCCCTAAAAAGCCTTCATAAATTTAAGTTTCTCTAATCTCTAAGCTGAAACAATGAAACAATGATTTATATGTAAGTACCAGACACATAAATAATGAAAATCTTTGTACTACACATTTGTTTGGGACACAGATAATCACAATGCTTTATTTCATTTGAAGCAAACATTATTATTTATAAGTTGGGATTATTTCTTCTAAGGAGAAGCATAAATTAGAAAATGCAATCAACTTTAAAACATTTAATACACAGCTACATCCAAATAAATAAAATTATAATAGCAACTAAACAATTGTTACATGAATCTTAAACCATAAGGTACGACAAATTTCTCAATGAGCTGAGTATTAAATAAATAGTATCAAAATAAAACTTATGAACTATAAAAATATGACCTCAGACCTTTTATACTCATCGGTATAGAAATGAAACTAAAAAGTATAGGAGCTATATTATTTAGTATTGAATTAATACTTACACCCAAGACACACTTAATAAATCTAAACTTCGAGTTTTTTTTTTTTTTTTTATGTATAACTCTTTACCGCACCAGTCATATATTAAAGTTTGTCAAACCTTTGAACTACTCTCACTTTGAACTCAAGCGATGATTTATAAGTTCCTACATGGTACTTGGCAGTATTACGCATACGCCACGTGGGCTGTAGTGCATAAATTAGTTAAAGCCATTACCATTACTACCAGTGCTCCTGAGACCCGTATCCTTCCGTACCTTTCTTCTTGTATCCTTTACGGCTACAAAAACGCCATCTGTTGTCACAATTTGGCCTGACCTTAACCTCTCCTCAAGAAAAAAAACGAAGAAAAGGAAAAGTGGAAAAGAGGATTCTCCGAATTGGAAAGCAAAAGGAAATGCTATCAAAATATAAACAAAGTGGGGAACAACAGCTGATGGGCTGCAAAAAAACAGATGTTTCCGGTGGGCGCATGCGCAGCAGGAAATGACTTAAGAGAGCCACTTCCGGTTTAAGAGAGTCCCTTTGCAGACTGTCATTGTGTTTGTTTTTGCCAAATGTCTTTGCTGGTGGAACTCGAAAACAAAGTCCACAGGAAGCAGTTGGCAACGCAGCAGTAACTTTAGTTAACCGCCCGAAACTGCGGATTCCGGCGCCGCCATTCGCGCAGTCTTCATTGCATCTCGGTGGCGTTCGCATCTTCGACGCTTCGGTCCCTCAAAAAATAGAAATAAATTCAACAGCCGAACCGAACCATTCTAAACTGAACTGAATTGAACCGAACCGAAGTGTTGACTATGAATTTTTGTTGACTTCTCATGCACTCGGGTCAGTTGCGTTTTGCGTTTCGTGCGCTGCGGCTGCGTTACTAGCTGAACTTTAGTTACAAAAGTAAAAAATATTTTTAATTAAATAAAATAATAAAAAAAAACTCTCTCAGTGATCCAAAATAATTTGTAAATTTTTATCTAAAGTGAATGTTTTAAAAAACTGTTTCCGTGACTCTTCAATCAAAAACAAAGTGCGTTTTAAAGTGTTTTCTGTATAAAAATAGAACTACAATATTTTAACGTAATATAATTTTTAAAAAATTAGCCAACATTTTTTTCATAGCTATAGAAAATAAAGTAAATTTAATTTTATAAGTATTATCTAAAAAGATGAATATTTAAAAATGAAGCTTTGTGAAAGCAGAATAAAATAAATGAAGAACAATTAGGAAATTAAAGTTCTTAATAAATAAAGATAAAATAAATAAAGATGAAAGATAGTTAACATAACAATAAGGAAACATTTTGTTTTTAATTAATATTAAAAATTGATGATGAATTCTATTAAACACCATTATTTGATCTTTGCAATACAAGTTTCACTTTAAAGTATTGTTATGAGTTCTCTATAAAGAAATTTGCATATTTTTAATCAATTTCTTAAACGACATTCATTATATATTTAACTTTCCGTAATCAAATCAAGTTAATTTAAAAATAGCCAACATTTATCAGTAAAATGTTTTCAAATAAACAAGACAAGTACAGCAAAAAACTTCAATAAATTAAATCAAAATGTTATTGAAACCAAATGTGTGTACACCAGCACTGAACAGATTTAAGCCATAATAATGCATTAAGTATGCGCAAATATTTGCGGAACATCTGTTGAATAATTTGCATAAATCAACGCTGGAATACCTCTTTGGGCTCTAGTTTTGCAGTAAGTGTCAACCCGTTGAATTATTTGTATGACAATAAATTTCCCAACCTATGTGTGCAGTCCTATAAATATTGCTGTCTACTGGCAACTTTGGAGTGCTTTCTATTTGTAAATAATTAAATGCGAAATTGGAATTACTTGTTCCCAGAAATAAAGCCCGATTAAGTGTCTGCCATACGGTTTTTGATAAATTTAAAGCCACTCAAAGACGATTTAAGTCGATTTATAAGCTCCTCTCGAAATGAGAATTATTGAACGCCTATCATACAATTGCAGTGAATTTGAAGCGCATTTTCTGCAGATTGTCAAGGAATTTATCTACAGCTTAATGCCAGTCTAGTCAATTGGGCAACGAGATTGCTTCCTTCTTTTTTTGTCGATTTTTTTAGGTGGAAAAATTAATGGAGTGTTGAAGCGTTTCTCCGCTTAACACTTGCTCTCCAAGTGGAAGTTAAGATTTTGACAAAGGAAGGTCGAGTCCTTCGGCTCCTACGCACCAGCACTTATGCGAACCCTTCAAGGATTTCCTTTGGCCATCCCTTTGCCAGTTTATTGTCCATTGAGTTCTCTATCACCGAAAGATAAAGAAAGCCAGCTGACAGCCGTACAAAAAGTGACTTTGTCGTGGTCGTAGTCCTGGTCCTGAAACAATGCAAACAATCACAAAATGGCACTAGGCGAATACAAGAGCTGACCGCTTGCACGTGACATCGGAAAACATAAAAGAAAATTTGAAAATGGAAAAGTGGCAGAAATAGGAAAACAAATCAAAATGGGCAAACAAACTTCAATAAGCAAAAAAAGGTTTTATCCTATTTTTAATTGCAAACTGTTTTGTTAAGAATAGCTTTTACTAAAAGGAATTAAATTGCGTTTGCTTAACTAAAATGTTTTCGTTAAGGCTTAAATATTTGTGTAGTTTATGTCTAAAAGTAATCCCTACACTTTTAAGCGTTTAAATCAATGACTACAAATTATACACAAAATTTGAATAATTTATGCTATTGTTAAGGGTTAAGTATTGCCAATAAACAAAATCTTCATTATCTTACTACATTATTCATTATCTTAATCTTATTTTCTTGCAAATTGTTTTATTAAGGGTAGCGTTTTTTAAAGGTCTTAATTGCATTTGCTTAACTAATATGTTTTCGTTTAGGCTAAAAAATTTCTATAATATATGTCTCAGATAACAATTTCACAAATCAGTGACTACACAATATAAAAACAAAAAATTAAATTGTTAATGGTGTTAAGGGTAAAATTTTGCCAGTAGATCAGAACAAAATAATCCCGTAATTCATACAACAAGTTCTTGTTACGTTTTACAATGTTTTTCCATAAAAATTGAGCTTTGCACTACAACTTTATTGATTTCTGTGAACATATTTTTCTGCCAAATAAAACCAGGTTTTCCGCAAAGTAAGCCACATACAAATTTCCTAGAACAGATTTGCGCTGCCAAAACTGTTTGCAAGAAGTATATTTTTTTTATTGAAAGCACAAAGATTTTCACTGCTGAACAAAAACTAATCAAAAACGAAAAGCGAAAAACAAAGTCATCTGTCAATTTCCTGAAACCACAAATAAATAAAATTTAATTAAAGATTCTCCATGACGCTCAATATGGTTAGACTTTGGGGATGACTTTGACAAGAGAGCACAAATATATCAAAGTTTGAGTTTCAGTTTCGGTTAACTTTTACTTCCTGCCGACGTAATGGGACAAGATTTTAATCAAAAATCAGTTACAACTTTGGTGGAACCAACTCGGTGGAAACTGCCTCGTCAAACTTGTTAAGACACTTTGCTTCTTTTATGCCCGTAATTTCCTCTATAAATTATAAATTATATCCAGTTCACCAGCACTGTTTTTCACCCAACAAGAAGAGAGAAAATTGTCTGATTTGCATAACGCGGCGTATGCGTAATAATGATCCAAATCAAGTCTGACGATTTGCCTTATTGACTCCATATTACTTTATTTGCGCAGTCAAATTTTGTAGAGATTTTCCTCGACTTTTCCTATTGAATTTCATTTATATTTTTCGTGTGTGTAGGTGTTGTTGTTTTCGCCTTTGTTTTATGCACGCACAAATATTTCCTTTTCGGCTTTCCTTTTTTTCTGTTTTCTTTTTTTTTTGCGTGTTTGAGTTCGTAATTTGAGTTGATTTGTGATAAGGGGGCTGCTGATTTCGATTGTTTTTCTCTTTCCTCTTATTTTGGTTTTTTCTGGGGTTGACCTGCCTTGACATCGTTGTGTGTGTTTGTGGGCGCCTAGTTGTAGGCAACGCTTATTTTTTATGCTTGTTCGCAGAGATTGTAGCGGTGGTATTCCTATTAACAGGGGCTATGGGTTGTGCCTGGCATCAGATTTGTATGAAAATGATATGCCAAAAATACCAAAACAAATCCCCCGCACGTAATGCCATTACATTAAAATTACTTGCAGCCTTGCCAATGGGCAAAAGCGTTTAAGGCGGCCAAAAGCAATTGAAACATTAAATTCGGTGCATGCTCATATTAAATTTTGGATAGAAAGAGGGAAATGTTCATGAATTTCCCTAGAAATATATGATTTTAATATTGTTTTGGATTTTTAAATAATTTCAAAAAAGTCAGTCATAGAAAAGTTGACTCCCGTTTCGAACTTTTCAAACAGCAGCAATTTATTAACAACACCCAAAAAGAGTAGAAAGTTTTTCGCACAGACAACAAAAATTGTGACAAATATGTTGGTGGCGAACACTTGAGGCGCTTTACAGCATCAGCAACTCGTCTGAACACAAACAGAAAGCGAAATATTCGCGATTTAAGTTGGCATCATAAATTCAGAAAAAAGCTAACCAAAATAACCAAAGGACGACTCTTGCATAATTTATGAGCGCCCAAGTGGAGTGAAGCTGCAGAAAAGCAAGGCAAAATGCAAACAAATTCGTGCAAAAAAAATGTAAAAACTGCCTAAAAAGATGAGAAAACTGTGATTATGATTTGCATCATTTCGCCAAAGCTCCGCCCTTCGCCGCTCTAAGCTGTCTCTAATTGTTAAATGTTGCAAAAGCTGCGCCAAAATGTCTGGGACGTGACAAATTCGAATAAGTGGTGTTAGTTCGGCTTTCTTTAAAATTATTATTTGTATTATTTGGAATACATATTTAAAAAAAAAAGCTATACGAAAATGTTGTTCTAGCAATTAACACTTCGGTCTATATAATATACAAATTAGCGTTAATATCTCATTAATTTAACACATATACATATTTTAATAGGTTTGATGTTCTTAGTGAAACTTCCTACATTGAAATAATTTTAAATATATTTTACAAACATTTTTGAAAAGCTTAAAGGTAATTGAACTTGAAAAATTTAGCCTTAATATATCCCTATCAAATAAGAACATTTATTAAAAATGAAATATTTTGATAGGTTTTAAATACTAATTCAAACTCTTTTCACTGAAATATTTTAAAATTAAGTTTACATACAGTTTTGTTTTCGTTTAATTGAATCTGAGAAAATAAGCGTTAATATTTTTCTACAATATAAAAAAGCTAACAAAAATCATACTACCTTAACAATATTAAATTTTGCAGCCCCTTTAAATAGTTTAAACCAGTTTCTTTAAAATTAAAACAAAATAACTCTTTAAGAATCGATTGAAGCATTGCCAGACAGCTTTTTCCCAATTTTTTTTTATCTTGGTTATTTAATCGAACATATATATTGAATACATACCAGCTAAGCCTTTAAGAATTCCTGGCAGCAATGGTCACAAGAGAAACCGAAAAGAAAGGACACCTTAATGAAGCTGCGTCCCGAAGATTCGCAACATTTGGCAACAGCAAATGTCCATTAAGGGCGGGGGAATGTGTCCAATGAATTTAACAGTATGCCGAAATCATTTCGACTTTGTCTCATCACAGTTTCATGAGAGTCCGGCCAGAAGGTCCTGGCTGTAAGTGCTGCCATTAGCTGCCTCTGCCGTTGCCGCTGATTATAGGATATCCCCGGACGACCTGCAGGAAAGACGTCAAGTGTCGCCGTAATAGTTGCCCTTATGACAGAATAAATCGCTGCCTGGCAGTCGGCCAACTCCAAAAGGGTTTCTTCTCCTCAAATTTCCACGAATCCACAGCTGGAGGCGCAAATAACAGCTTTTGGTTGGGTGTATATAGGGGATATAGTGGATATAGCATAAATGTCGCCATCATTGCCGCATTGACCCGTAGACTTGGGCCTGCGGAATCCATTTAAATTGCATTTCAACGTAGGCACATTCCGCCGCCTTCTAACTACTATACTTTATTGCCAGGCACGTAATAGACAGCATTGTGAAACAGCAAACGCCTCCCTCATTTATTTATTGCCAAGCAATTGCAGCAATCAAATCGAAAGGCATAATACTATGCTATGCAGAGCAAGAAAAGTCTGAAACACAAATCGAAAAAAACAAAACTATGCATTGCAATACAAATTCTCAGTTTAAATAAAATTTAAATTGATTTTAAGTGTTAACTGCAGTAATCAAATCGAAAGGAACAAGACATTGCGAAATCAAATCGCGAAAAGTCAGGATCACAAGTTCAAGGTTTTGGGAATGTTTTGCATAATTAAGTTACTCAATTATGTTTTTATAAATTGGTGTTGTCATATGCTGAATTTTTTTTTGGAAGAAAATTCTAAGAGTTTTATTATATATGCTTACACATAATTTTAGTCATAAAGTATTTGTTAGCGATAGTTTGGAAAAATTAAAAAACAATATCTGATTTTTTTAGATTTATTTAAAGCTATCAATATAAATCAATATAAAAAACTCATTGAAGTTCCAAGAACTTTATAATAGCTTAGATATAATTTTAATCATTTGCAATTGTCTAATCATCAATGATTTTATGACCTAGCTATAATGACCCAATGAATTATTCAGAACATCGCTTAAAGTTAAATCTCTTAAATTCCGGTAACTGTGTAGTGCTTTTCGCAGTATAAGGAGCCAA